TAAAGTGTATTTCAATTCTTTTTGTGTACGTATATACGTATCATATATGTATAAAAACACTAATTTTTAATAGCACCAGATGTCGGCGCTCGAAATATCAATCATTTCTATTGCGACCAATCTTTACGTACTTATCTTTGACATGCTTCTACCCTTATAAAAATTTATGACAACTTACTATTTATACATTCTATCAAATTTCACTTATATTTATACTTCTCCTAAACATATTGAAACATGTTCAATTGTCATATTCTTTCTCCAAAAAGAATAAACGATCGAGACTCTTTTATCAAGGGAGGGAGACATTGCGTTTCAATATCATCGATTTCGATAGCAGCCAGATATTGGCATTCAATCGATTAATTATGAAATTTGGTCATATTTAAAATAATTAATAAATGTTGTTTCTAGAAAAATTATATTACGCCATATCGTGGCCGAAAAACGACGGAGCATATATTGGCGAAGACATTTTTCGTTTTATAACCATTTGTTTTTGTATTGTTTTTGTTCATAACAATATTCTCTTTTTGTTGTCTTATACGTGACTACAATCCTCAAAATTTGTGATGTCTTACTGCCACTCCGCATAACATCATACCCCCCTCCCCCTACTCCAACTCCGAAAAATCCCCGCGCTCCGCATTCCCCTTGGAGCTCTCGAGTTAGATCTCTCTCTATTATACTATTTATAATAGTTTTTATTTTAAATTAGTAACGTTAAAGTTCACTAATCACAGAGCTGACAATTCGCGCACTCAGGTATAATGATATATGATAAATGGTAAACAATAAGATAGGAACAAGACTGTTTATATTAAATAACATTACAATCCGAAGCGCCACTACGGTCTAAGTATTAAGATGTTGAACCAATATATATATTATTCAAACGAATGAATTAATTTCAGAAATAATAATTACGTGTCGATATGGTTATCGACATTAACGCAATTAATCTGAAATGTAATAATCCCCCCAAAAATTCCCCAAATTAATCTTAAAAAACTGTAATAAACTTATTGCGAAAAAATATTGCTAAGGTCTCGGTAGTCTAAAGGCTCAGGACGCTCGCACGGAATGCAATTTTTGGGGGGATTATTACATTTCAGATTAATTGCGTTAATGTCGACAACCATATCGACACGTAATTATTATTTCTGAAATTAATTCATTCGTTTGAATAATATATATATTAGTTCAACATCTTACTTAGACCGTAGTGGCGCTTCGGATTGTAATGTTATAAGTGGTAAAGATGTGTCACGAAGCCTCTCTCAGTTACTTCAAGATTATGAAATATGCAATGTCATTTTTAAGATATTGTTCGTGCTTCTATATAAAATCTATTTGTACATTGCGCATACATAATTAATATCGAAGCATAACAAAATATTAATTTAGCAGCGAGATATTATGACATGTATCAAAATTAATTCGTAGTCATATTCATGTGCTTTGTATGCGCGGTAAATGTTTTTGTAATAAGTAGACAAACTATTTTTAACGTAAAAAATATCAAAAACGATACATTTTAACAGAAAATGTTATTAGATACCAAGATTCAACACGATCACATAGGACACATCTCGGTTTATAATTTAGTTTGTTGTGCATATTCTGTATAAGACGTATTAAAAACTTATAAATTAAATTTTACAAAAATACAAAATATTAAAATAATTCACGATCGCTTATAAATTAATGCATATTTTAATTAACCTTTTGTGATCATCTGGGGATTCCAAAAAGGTGTGAGGCTTTATATTTTTAAAGTTTTTTTTTTAGTGAGACTTAAACTGTCATTTATACCAAAATTTAAAATACCTTTTTGAACCTTCAATCGCATATTGTTCCTTGGATATCAGCCTTTGCGATTTTTTAAATATGTTAAAAAAATTTTGAAAAGCTACTACATATATTTCAACCTATTCTATAATGTTTAAAGTATGTTCAATAATTTTTGTGATTTTAAAAAACAACTTGCTATAAGTTGTTTTCTAATCAATTAAAGTTGGTCAATTAAAGTTAGTCAATTAAAGTTGGTCAATTAAAGTTGGAATCATTTTGCCTGTGTGATCAACATAAAATTCTCAGGAGGTGTGACCACAAAAGATTGATAAGTAAAAATTGTGTATATCGATTTACTGCCTCTATGAATTTTATTGACATATATATGTTTTGTTGTAATTTATATTAATTTCTATATTTTTTACTTTTTTCAACATCTCACTAGGATAATTATTAAGAAATACGTACCATAATAATTTGATATAAGTATTAGAGTTATTAGGTGTTGGAATTAATTCGTAGCGTTTTTTAATGAAAGAATGTTATTTATTTCACATGAGCATTAAAAAATACATTAATGAAAGTACTTCCCATCACTTGTAAAACGCTACGAATTAATTCCAACACCTAATAGTTAAATTAGTATTTTACATATTTTAAGCCTTGCCTTATTAACACATTTGATTATTTTTACGTTAATAACAGTTTATCTACTTATTACAAAAATACAATATTTACTTGCATACAAAGCACACGAATATTGTTACGAATTTATTTTAATACATGTAATATTTCGCTATTAAATTATTACTTTATTATATGCTTCGATATTAATTATGAGTACACAATGTACAAACAGATTTCATATAAAAGCAAGAACAATTACTTAATAAAAATATCATTGCATATATGATAATCTTGAAGTTGCTGAGAGAACTCTCGTGACACATTTCACCACTTGTCATATATCATCATGCTTGAGCGTGCGAAATGTCAGCTCTGTGATTAGTAAACTTTAATCGCTACTAATTTGAAAACTATTATAGCTTCGATGCTATAATAGTTTTTGATATTAGACTTTTCGTTTCCAAATTACTTCAAGAATCTGTAATTAGCAGATGCGTTAGGTCTGAAACGTCCTCTATGTACTGAGTCAACATATTGATCATATGTGTATATGTTCAGTATATATCGACTATTTTATAAATATAATGCCTTCACTAGCAGGTATTATATTTATAAAATATATTATGATATATCGATCAATTTTATAAATGTAACGTCTGCTAAAAAAGATATTACATTTATTAAATAACTCGACATATTGACCAATATGTTGATGTAACACACGGTATATACACAATATATCTTTTGAAGAATATGAAACAGTATGAATGGACAAATATTTATGAGTGCAATATAACAATAATTTTATAATAAATAGTATAATATAAACTTATAATTAATAAGCGTTATTATACAAATAATATCAATATAAGATAAATAAAACTATAAAATAAAAGTGTAATTTATAAGAATCGCTTATTATATTACTCTTTTATTTTGATAATGTGATTAAATTCAATATATATAAAAAATGAATTAATTAATTTCTTTAGCATTTGCAATATTCTAACTATTAAACTATTGGCAATGCTCAATTTTATACTCTCCAATTAATAATCTTTAACAAGTGACAATTTTATCACAATAATACACAAATCAATATACAATACTGTGAAACACTGATTTTATCTTTGGCTTGCGAAATATCATTTTCAAAGCATTTTTTGACACTGAAAACGATGCTGTCCTCTAGAATTTATCTATCATGTTATATTTCTGAGAAAATTGGGATGATATAGGTGAAAATTGACACTTGTTTGGTCACTTTTATAATGATATTGTGGTTAAGGAAATTTTATTTTGCCAATTTTATGTACGCTCTCTCTATCTTAAAGTGCTATTTTTTATCTTCAAAATGAGTTTTTTTTGTTTCTGTTACGATTTTTTATGATCAAGTTACGAGTTTGAAGTTATCACCATTTGAAGTTTACTCGAAGAAGCTTATTTGAGCTACGTTCCATTTAAAAAATTTTAAAAATTAAAAAGAATAATAAAAGTAAAACAAAAATTTAAAAAAATTAAAAAAACAATAAAAATAATAAAAAAATTAAATAAAGAAAATATACAAAAAAGGAGGGTAACAAAGATCGTCTCCACGTGGTGCACTCTGGAAACACATGTTATGGCTGAATAATCTTCTAACGACCGTCATGCTAATCTCGGAATCTAAAGGTGCATTTACATTCAAGCGTCAAGCATTAAGCAGCGGAAACAGCAACCAATCAGCTGGCGATATAGGCAGTGGTGTAAAAATTATTTTCTATGTCATTGTAAAAATTGCCTTATTGATTGGTTGCTGTTTCCGCTGTTTGACACTTGATACTTGCATGTGAATCTTAATGCCTACTGGACATTGGACGCAATAAGCGATAAGCGACGAGCGATATCCAATGAAAGTTTTGCTTTGCGTCGTCATGTGAGAAAAAGCAGAGCTTTTATTGGATATCGCTCATTGTTTATTGTTCATCACGTCCAGTGTGCAGTAGGCATAAGAAACACAAATCAAAATATGACACTTGCTAGCTACATGTGATCAAGAAATGTGATATTGTCTTACGCTAAATGACGCGCATAGCGACAGCGTATGCTTAACTTCAAATCCATGTAACTTGATCATAAAAAATCGTGCAGAACCAAAGAATTCATTTTGAAGGTAAAAGGTAGCATTTTAAGATACAGTGTAAACAAAATTGGCAAAATAAAATTTCCTTAACTGCAATACTATTCTAAATATGGCCAAAATTGTAATTTTTGGCTTATATTACTTCATTTTGCTCGAAAATGTGATGTGATATAATTTTTCTGAGTACGGATTCAAATTCAGCGGCTAAAAATCTTCGAGAAATAACACTCCACATGCCAAAGATAAAAAAAAAGTCAAATTTTGTTCCTCAATGTAATACAACAAAGCAAATATCGAATATCTACTTGGGATATCTTGGCATTTTGTATTTTGGTAAACTTGGTCCTGTCTCTCTCTCTCTCTCTCTCTCTCTCTCTTCCTTCGATTTATTCTCCTTTGAATTACTTTACACGTTACACTCATATCAAACAGATAGATATGAGAGATAGATTTTTACCTTGCTCTTCAAATCTGCGCTGGCACAGCGAGCACTTAGAGTCTCCAAAATCATCGAACTCGTCCTCCTCAATCACGATCTGTCCGTCAGCTGCAACAAAACAGCCCACGATCTTTTCTTCCTATCTTTTGTTTGTTCTTTTTTTCCATATTCTTACAGCTTCTGTATGTCGAAAGGAGAAACGAATTTTCACAGAGCCGCGAAATAAGTTCTAACAAGGAAAGACTCAAAAATGTATTTCACGGATTTTTACCAGCTTTTTCTATGGTTATTTTGGGGCATCAAAAAATAATCCGTATAAAGCCGTAAATTGAGTATTATTCGAAAAAAAAAAATTTAGGTCAGGGTGACGGATCATTTTCATATCAGAGAAAATCAGTAGATATTTGTCCGAAAATTGTTTTTGAGAAAATTAACATTCTTTGATTTTAATTGAAGCTTGAACAATTGCCACTGTAAAGCAGTACAGTAAGAATCAGCGCAGATAGAGCTAAGTGTCTATATGAGGGACCGGGGTTTGTTAACATAGTTTGCACAATTTCGGCATATTAGATTTTTTAAACAATTAATTATTATGATTAAAATGTACTAATATGATAGAAGAGAAAATCTTTCTTTATATTTTCAAACTAGTAATGATTCTATACACTATCTATACAATTTTTTTGCAATAAATAAAATATTGAGACGAACATATTACGTTGTAATCAACTTGCCCTGATATGCCCTGGAACGCGCGTCTTGAATATGCCACGATACATCTGCAAATTCAGATGCCTAGGCATTAATGACACCGTATGTACGTGATATGTGGAATAAATTGGTACATACACAAAGTAAGAGAGAAGAAGACTCAATTCCATAAAAAAAGGTAGAATCGGTTTGTGAGCCAAATTGAGAGAGAACCAGAATAACCTGCACATTTGGATGCCATGTTTAAAAAATCAGCTGTATCAGTAATACACACGGCGTCATTAATGCCTAGGCATCTGAATTTGCAGATGTATCGAGGCATATTCTAGACGCGTGTTTCTTTCTAAATATTCATGCATTATGACTAATGGTTATTCGAAAAATGTAACGTAAACTTAAAATTGAACTAAATTAAACTAAATATAAACTAAATTTAATAATTTATAAATAATTTAAAAATTTATAAATAAAATTGCTAATTGATTTAATTATATTGATTTAATTGATTTTTTTAATTGATTTAATTGTATTGATAAATTATTAAGCTTACAATTAGTTTATGTTTAGTTTAATTTAGTTCAATTTTACGTTACATTTTTCGTATTGTTCTTTTATAAGAAAGAATTGCCAAATGTTCTCTGTGACAATTTTTCTCATAACTTTATGAATTGAACTATATGAATTGAAACATTTTTCAGAAATACTCAGAAATATTCGAAAAGTTTACATCTTTTTTTGAATTTTTCATACATATGAATTCTGAAATATTTTGAGATTTCTCATTCTATAAGTAAAAAAAAATATTTTTAACTTTTTTAGATTTTATAACATTTTATACTTAAGAAATTATACTTAGAACAAATTTTAGAAATCTTACAATATTTCATTAACATTATATATGAAAATTCTGAGAAAAGGTATAGACCAGAGCTTTTTGAGTATTTCTGAACAATTTTATTTCGTATAAAAAATGTGAGAAAGTTATAAAATCATACAGAAATTTTGAAAAATTCTGAGAAAAATTTTCACCAAAGTTGTCTAAAAGAGATTTTATTTATAAATTATTAAATTATTTATAAATTATTAAATTTAGTTTAATTCAGTTCAATTTTAAGTTTACGTTACAATTTCGAATAACCATTAGTCGTAATGCATATTTAGAAAGGAACGCGCGTCTTGAATACATGTCCCGATACTTCTGTAAATTCAGATGCCTAGGCATTAATTACGCCGTGTGTACGTACGAGTTACACTTTTCTTGTTGTTTGTACTTTTAATTGTGAGGTAAATCTTTTTTATTTGAACAACTTTTAAAGGAATCAAGTAAGTGAAGTAAGGTTGATATTGCAATGGTGTAAATGTGTAGGTTATTTCTCAGCGGATTCCCTCTAATTTGACTCACAAATCGGTTCTACTTTTTCCGTTTGCGCATTATCAAGTTATGAGTCTCTTTCTTTCTTACTTAGTGAGTACATATTACGGTAATTTGCTTCTATAATAAATTCTATGTTAAATTAACAAAAACGTAATAGAAAAGTAATAGAAATAAAAATCAAGTAGTAGACATGTATTTTTTAGTAAAAATTGAATCTTTCAAAATTATTTTGTAATAATCAAATAATAAAATGTTATAGAAAAACAAATATAAATTATTTTATTTCTACCTTATTTCAATATAGAATATTAAATATAAAATAAGTTTTGTCAGAGTTAAGTTGTGATTGAATGTTCACACATACGGTACAGTCAAACTTGTCTTATACAAGGTCTCCCAGAATTTGAAATTATTTTTATATGTAAATAGAGGGGACTAAGCTATGTGAGAGTCGCAAAATGTCTTTCACAACTTTTTAATTTTTGTAATAGTTAACGAGTTATTAATTATTAAAAATTATCGTAATCCGGCCTACTGCTGAATGCAAACGCACGGCGAGATGCAGTCGCCGAGCGAGATTGTTAAGTACGCAAAGAGTTGTTTAGTAATAAAGTGCATTTGCATTCGACGGAAGATTAAGTCTTTCCTAATACGGCGATTTTTATAATTGATAATTCGCTAACTATTGCAAAAATTTAATAATTGTAGAGGACTTTTTGACTTATTTTAGTCCGTTCTATCTGCATATGAAAATAGTCCTAAATATTTTGGGATAGGGGAGACCGGGGCTAATAGACTCATTTGTTCAGTTTTGAATTTTTACAGACAAAATTAAGAGACTTATCGAAAAATGAATTCTACATCAATTATTACACACATTTGACTACTTAATAATATTTTAATAATAAGGGAAAACTGATAACTAATATGAAAAAAAATGCATTTTTCTAATGCATTCCATCTGATTCAATTAGCTCTGAGACCGGGATAATTCGACTAAGATTATTAAAATAAAGATTAATGTATTTTAAGTTACATTTTTGGCTACATATTAATAAAACTTTTATAAAAATATTTTTAAACTCAAACATTCGCTTCGCAGGGCAAAACAATATTTCTTTTTGCAAAATTTGTTGATTTCGTGCAAAAACACGTCGAATAAGCCTAGTTTTCGAGATTGGACATGAGGGAATTAAACTTATAACATTTACCATTGAGGAAAATCTCTATTCCTCAGTGATAAGGAGTAAATCTCTTTTCCTTAGTGAAAAAGGAATAAAATTTTGAGTAAGTACTATAGGAGTCGTCACTAAATGAGTCATCATACAATTCTATACTGTATTTAATCTATTATCCTCATCCATTCATTTTTTAAACATTAACAATATACGATAACAAAGACGCATAAACAAAAAAAAATTGTTGGACTTTATTAAATAAAAACTACACTTATTATCTAAGCAGAAATCAAATATCTCAGACAATTATATACGATTGTAAAACAAAAGCTTTCAGAATAAAAATAATTTACTTAGGTGTACAATTTTTTGAAATTGTGGCATAACTTCTATCATAGATGTGTTCGCAACAAGATGTTACAGCAGACTTTAGCGTGCTGCTGCGTGTTCAGACGCGTGTCTCGCGTATTTTGTTTTTAATATAGCCTCGATTATTCTACTTATTCAACTGACCCCGGTCTCCTCTACTCTGTATATGGAGACAATGTATGGAGTCAATAGGCCTCCATTTCTACACATGTCTGATTTTTATCATTTTATTGTGAGAAATTATTTGTTCAAAATATTATGTTGCATGCTAACAGACACTTTTTTTTAACTAATAATACTGTCCGACACTGATTTTATCTTTGGCTTACAAAATATCATTTCCGAAGTATTTATTGACGCTGAATACAATGCTGTCCTTAGAATTTGCCTATCACATCACATTTCCGAGAAAATTGGAAGAAAATAGGCAATAACTGATGATTTTGGTAATATTTAGAATGGTATTGCGGATAAGGAAATTTTATTTTTCCATTGTTATCTATTGTTGTCTATTATCTTAAATTATTATCTTTTACTTTCAAAATAAATTTTGTTTCTGTATAATTTTTTGACCAAATTTACAAGTTTGAAGTTATTATTGTCTGAGGAACATGCTTAGTCGAGGAAAATCAGCGGTATGGTAGAATAATAAAAATAACACAAGAATAAAAAATAAAAAAACAAAGAAGTTATTAAAAAAATTAAATAAAAAGGAGTATATAAAAAAAAGTGTAACAAAAATCATCTCCATGTAATGCACTTCGGAAATACATATTATGAATAATTTTCTAATAACCGTCATGCTAACCTCGAAGTTAAATCTAAAAAACATAAATCAAGATATGACACTTGCTATAGCCATAATCAAGAGATATGATAATATCTCATACTAAATGATCATATTAAAAAATTCTATAGTAGATATAATATATAAAATTCTAGATATACCAAAGTAGTGCAATCCTTTTATCTGAGTTGATGCTGACAACTTTTTTATTGGTTATTTCGACCGTCATTTTGGACCTAAATGGCCTGTAGACTCTAGTGACCAACTCTCACAGAAAGAGGGACATAAAAAAAATTGATATTAATCGTCATAATCAAATTTTAATAGATAATCATTTTTTTAAACTTGTTAATGAAATATGAATTATATTATTACATTGATAAATAATTAATAACACTTAATTAATAGCATCATATAAGTCACAAAATCAAGTTATGAAATCACAAAAATGTATCACATTTTATGTTTTAAACTTTGTACTTTTGTATACTATTTTACGAATAATTTTTGAGATTTTAATAAGATATCATAAAATTCTTCGCACGTTAAGTCAAAATTAAATTTCACACTGAGCATAGATTCTAATGTTTTTATTAATAATTGTGTTTTTTCAAAAAATTTGATATGTGAGTTAGAAAGAAAATATTGTTCGATACAAGCATTTATTCCTGAAAGACAAAGTCCAAAT